ACAGGCCTCTCTCATCTTTTTAAGTGGGAGAACTTGCACAATTGGTGGCTGACTAAATACTTTTTTGCCCCACTGTACATGTTGGTTGTTCTGTCTATGGCTCTCCCTCTTGCCTCCCAAGGTCATTCCCACATACCTTTACACTAGGTGTAGGTGCAATTGGCATCCTAGCATTAGTCACAAGAAGGCCCTCCTAGTCCGTGTCAACCCTGGCTTTCCATGTTGACAGCTCAGACCCACCAGCATAGCCAACCAGCAAACTTGAGTCTATTGCAGGATTATAATCCCATCTAGCCCCTGTTGAATCCCTATTCTCTTACTTAACTGTCCAGAAGCATCTCTGATTTATCTAAATCTTCCATTTGTTTGTTTTCACCTCATCTGTTACTGACATCAAAAACTGATTTAGCATATGAACAGCTTTTTTGGATTTCTATGGGAAAAGAGATATAGAGTTGGATATCATTTGCAAGCTGGTATCACAAAGCAATAGGCAACCTCACAGAGTATGGGTTTATATATCATAGCCCCAAAGACTGACATATATCCTAACACAAAATCAGATTCTTCCAGCATCCCTTTCTACACTGTCCCTTTAAACATGACTAAGCTTTTGCTAGGGATTCCAAGATCTTCCAGCAATCTTGACACCAGAGACAGAAAGAAACTAAGTGAAAGTTTGAATGCTTTTTCTACAGTGTTGGTGCCCACAAGACCAGGAGTGCATCACTGGTAGTCTGAATCCTCAGTTACTGCTTTGTCAATGGGGGAAAGAAGGTAGTATGGGGCGAGCGGGGGAGGAAAAATCGATGGTGGTGGTTGTGATGGTCAAGGACAATGGGTAGTTGCAGGTTCAAGAGAGCTCACCAGAACATATCCAGAGAACAGAATGGACAGCTGTTTCTGTCCAAATAAAGCCAGGAACAAGTTTAGGCAGGACTCCAGCTTTGCACGCACAGACCTAACGCATAGAATTGCCCAACCAGTACAAAAATCCCCACCCAACTTGAGAAAGATTAATTCTTCCAACAGCATTTGATATTCATATTATTAATATTACTCTTATTATCAAAGTCATTATCTGTGGGGGGTCATAAAGATTCATTTATTATTCTAGGGATTGTCACCGAACCAGAAAGTTTGAGAACCCCTGCATAAACGTTTTCTCCTCTTCCTCCTTTAGCCTTTTTGAAAAGAATAAATCCCAAAAGGTGTTGATTTCCCTTTAAAGCCATTCAAGCAAAAAGGGACTATTTGCAAAGTGATTAGAATTCAGTAGCACAAAAATGTATTAGATATTTTGGGGAAAAATATTTTTAAAAGCCTGGTATCTCAAAGAGGGGGGAAAAAACACTCTATCTGCTAATTAAGAAATCTACCAAACATTCATGATCACAATGCCATGCTTTGACAAAATTGTCCTCCCAAGGCAATGTAAGCACTATTAAGTCAATACACCGATTAAGTGAAGGATAAAAATTTTAAGCAATTTCACACTGCAACTTGTTTCTTTTAAGAAACAAATCAAAGCTATCTATAGATGTTCATAAAATAAAAGATTTATGTTTTATGGTAATATACTGGAATTTTCTAAGTGAGTAATTAGTTCAGGGGCTTAGACATTCAATTAGCCAGTATTACTGCAATAAAAACAGTCAATTTTTGTATCTACTGCAATAGCATCTTTAAGCATACATAAAGTAAACATATTTACTTTTAACCTTGTAATCTAGGAGAAAGTTTTTTTTTTAAAAAAAAAGATGTACGCACCATCATTAATGAGAAATGGAAGTCTCAATCCAACTCTTTTCACTGAATTACATTTTGAAAATGCTATTCCCATCCTCAAGCTTTCCAATTCTATTCATTTTATTCTGTACAACTCAGCAGGAAAAAAAAAAAAGCTTGTTCTTACTCAATGGCCGTACCAGAAGTTCGCTGGTAGACTGGTTAATACAAACCTGATTTGGAAGACACTTGCTTTCAATAGACAATAGTCATGCTACAACTTCAAAGAGATCATTCTCTCACAAAGCTCATTCAGCTATTCCTACCACCAGCACGTTTCAGGACACATATGCAGTCCTGCCATATAGTTGGATCCTTTTGCCACTGTCCTTGGTACTCCAACGGAATAAGAGCTGAGAAGAAATAGGTCTGCCATGTAAACTGTGGGCAAGGTGGACTAATTCCTCATAATACAGGAATTAACTATTTAAAATCTCATATTTTAATGGTCATATTCATTTTGACTGTAGTTGACCCATAAGCCTCTGAAACATTATTCTAGCATGTTTTCAAATAAGCACATGTTTTCAAATAAACACAAACACACACTAGAACATAAATTAGGGACCACTTACCCCAAAGAACGCACACATAACAGAGCCTGTTCTGATTTACAAAATTAGATTTGCAGCCTAGGTTGGCACATATATGCAAGTTTTAAAATGTATTTTCTAATATACATACAATTTTAAATGTATTGTTAAGAAAGTCGCTATAAGGCTTTTAGGAAGACACTGAAGACCTAGCTCTTTCCTCGGGTCTTGGGGTCAGAAGTTGAGTTCCCAACTGATGAAGATTTCGGGTCTAATCACCATCTTGTTGTTTTAGTATGTTTTAATGAAATATGTTTTTTTTAATTGATTATGGTTTTCTCTTCTTTTTTGTACACCACCCAGAACCACATGGTTTGAGTTGGGGAACCATATAAATGCTTAAATAAATAAATAAGTAAACAAACAAACAAACAAGATGGACTGTCACAAACTCGCAGTTTGAGATCTCTGAAATAGGTGTTATGGTGTTGCCCACAATAAGATCTGTATCAGGTGACCAGAAGGTATTTCAGTTTTCATTCACAGATGAGATTTACAATTCAAAAATGCACCTTTCCTTTCATCAGCCTGGACTTCCCATACTTCATATAAACATGGCCTCTCATCAAAAGTGACACACACACTCAAACTTTGCCATTCTTACTCTTCATTCTATAACTCAGAACTGTCTCAAAAAATCAGTTTTCTCAAAAGACGGAAAGGACTTGATTTTTTTAAAAAGTTGCCATCCCTGCCTAATGCTTAATCCACTGATCCAAGTTGGGCAACATTTGTTACTCAACACCTTCATATTATCAATGGGCAAGGGAGTAAGAGAAGAGGGAATGACCTCCAAGATCAACAGACACACAAAATATTCTGTTTGTACAAAGTAAAACAATTAGAACCATGAGTAGCTAGCAAAGCCAATATTTCATTCTCCCATGTACATAATTGTATTACTACCACTTGAAAAATAATCCCTTTCAAAATGTTATGCTTATACATGATTTACATAAAACATCTTTTCAAAATATTCATGACCCCAATCAGAAAAAAAGCCTCTTTGTTTAATCTACTGTATGCTTCTAGTAGCAGTAATCATTCAATGCCAAGAGTTGATAACGTATGAATCTTCTTAAATATACTAAGGTAACACTTCTCCAATCTGGCACCCTCCAGATGTCTTGGTATCTCCAAATAAGTTCAGCCATAAGTCTGGAAATGGTGGGTATTGTAGTCCACATGCAGTGAGACACCAAGATAGAGAAGGCCACATGAACAATGGTGAAAAAATATAACCGTTGCTTAAAACATTGACCTGCATTAAACTTGTGATAGTCATTATTCTCATAATAAAATATCTGAAATGAAAAAGGGACTTCAATCAAGTTTCACGGGCTGAGTGTCAATCAACTTACAGAGCAAATTGCTTAAGTGTTTCACATACATGATCTCATTGACTCATTCCATTAATCCATAAAGTAGGCCAGCTTCAGCTCTGTGTTACAGAATGGCTGAAATTAAATGTCAGCAGCTTGCCTTAGGCCAGCTAACAAGCAACAGAGAGGTAAGATATAAAGTGAAACCCATTTTATTCTCTGAACCATAATGTTATAACCAACTCATGATTTAACGTTAAACATACTAAAGCTCTCGTTAAGATGCAGAGCTCCTCTTGGCACATTTAAGCTGAATCTCATTTTGGACCATTTATGGTTCTCTGCCTTGAAGCATTTAAACTGTTTACAGAAAGTGATGTTTTCCTATTTTCTTGCGCACTTTAGTTTATTGTGAACAGGCTCAGCGTGATACACCACAATGAATAAAATATAGCATATGTTACCATTGTTTCCTCAATGCCAAGAGGAAAATAATGCCTATATAGCCTTACCAACAAAACCAACAAAAAAGAAAAATGTGAGTTGCACAGCCTATCTCACCATCCACCTTCTCCACAGTGGATGTTTGGACCATCAGAGACATGTTTCCAGAAGCAGTTCTCTGGAAGCCAGATGAACTCAGGGTCATGCAACCAAGGCTCTGGAGAAATGTAGACCACAAAGATTTGAACCAAATGAAGTGGGGGGGGGGGTCTGAATGTGCTGATTCAGGTCTATGACCTTTTATGACTCTGCCTTATTGCTGCATTCATTGCTTAAAAAAAAAAAGAAGGGCAGCATGGATTAACACTCACCCAGTTCTCCACGCAGATTGAGAAGTTCTAGTGATAACTCTTTACGCTGGGAAAGCACTTCCTCTCTCTGTGGGAAGAACACAGCACAGAGGCATACAATGTTATTGAAAAAAACATGACACTTTCCAGTAGTTACATTTGCAGGCTATCTGCTGAATGACAAGAGATGGAGGAAAAAAAGATGCCAATGTATGAATCATCCAGAACAGCAGCTTTTTAACACTGGAAAAACACAGATGGTTCTGAGTTAAGGAAGCAGATGTGTTTAAATAAGGTTTTCACCTCTTGTTAAGTACTTTAAAGTTAGTGAGACCTTAGTTTTCAGGTTAGGTGTGGACTCCCTAAGGATTAAATTAACATCTTCTAACTGTATTCAACAAACTTGTAGGACCTCTTACTCATAACTTTGAGGACCACATGGGTGACAAATAAAGTGTAAAGTACTTTGTAACAAAGGTAAATAGAGCCTGAAGTCTTCTACACTTAATGCTGAGTCTTCTACAGGCTGATAAAGCCCAGTTACAAAGTTTAGGAGCAACACAGAATGTGTCAAGATGAAGTCAAAACGTTCTCTTTAGCAGGATTGTTTTTTTCTTAATGCGAATGCTGGTGCACTTTAAACATCACATAAGAAGCCATCTGCTTTTCTGCCTATTTCCAATTACTGAACAAGTTCCAGGACACAGCTCACCCTGGAGTTCAGCTAGACAAGAACCAAGCAGCCCCCCACCCCTAACAGAATTTATAAGGTGCAATGAGCCCTTTGCCTCCTTGATGCGATCACTACTTAGAAAGCCCAATGGTGCAGAGATTCCAAAATCCAGGCTGCCTGCTGCGGGAAGCATTTTCACCTTGCTTGCAGCAAGCCCCTGCTCAAAACTCCTTGATATTATTCCAGAAGAGCACTACAGAACAAATACCAATTACCTTTTTTGCAGCACACGGAGAATACAAGCATAGTTTGCTGCTAGAGCAGCCCATTGTATAGCTTCAGTCCCCAGCTTGTTTTCTGTCCCCAGCATACGCAGGCAGGAGTGTACAGGTGGCAAGCAGTACCACAAAGCAAACTGGTTGGGCCACATTTAACTCACAACCAGGTCGCACTTCATTGGCCACTGCCTCAGCTCGACTTCATCATGCTTTGCAGTTTACCGTAGTCCTTCTACTGGTTTCTCCCAATACAGAGACACACTCGCTGCAGCCTCTGCACTTGGCACAAGCAGCCAGTGATTACTTAAAGCTACAGCTCTTTCGTTTCTGAAAAATGAGAACCAGACATTACGAAGATCGATTGCCACTTACTCAAATATCAGTTGGTACAATGCCTGGGAGGGTGGGTGGGGGGGAGAAGAAGGGGGAGAAAACATCCTCCTGACCACCTCTATGGATAATGGCTTTTATTTTTAGCTTTTCTGAATTAGTTATTCTAGGCTTTCACTCTTAATTTATCAGAAAGGCTGGTGGGGAAATGACATGATGTAAGCTGAAAAGAGAAAAAAAGAAAGAAACCTTGCCAAGATTTGCTGCATGCTTGTCATGCAGCTCTACCAAGTATATAACAGCAAATGAAAGAGACATATCCCTGCTCCCAGGAGCTTCCCACTGGGACAGCAGGGGTGAAAAGAGCAGCATGAAAAGATGCACTGATACTTTCATCTGTATTTTAACCTCAGTTCTATAGATACTCTCTGCTTTAGGTTGACTGATGATGCCCATTTTGCAGATGGTCAATGACAGCCTTACTGGAGCCAGTTTGGCCTAGCGGTCAAGGCATCAGGCTAGAAACCAGGAGACTGTGAGTTCTAGCCCCACCTTAGGCATGAAGGCAGCTAGATGACCTTGGTCCAGTCATTCTCTCTCAGCCCTAGGAAGGAGGATTCAATGGCCAACCACTTCTGCAAATGTTGCCAGGAAAACTGCAGAGACTTGTCCAGGCTGTTGCCAGGAGTCAACATTGACTCGAAGGCATGAAAAGAAAAAAAAAGGAAAAAAAAAGGTGACAGCCTTGAGTTGATCTCATGAGGGTTAGGGATGACCAGGAGTCAAATCCAGCCTTGCATTTACTGGCTGGGTGAATGGGTGAACTTGGCCACCATGATTAAATGTATGTATGTATGTATGTATGAATGAATGAATGACTCAGCATAGTGTGGAAGCCTAGCCATTTTCTCTAAGTTTAAAAAAATGCCTGATATTCTTAAGGACCAACATAATAACAAAGTCCTGTGACTGTGGAATCTTTTTCTTTCTCTAAGGGACTAACATGGTGACTTGTTATTTCAAAATCAGGATTTATATTGCATCAGTATTTATTCTGCATACCTAATCAGTATTTATATTCCAAAGCATGAGAGCTCCTGCAATCACATTTGGGCTGTTATTATAAACAGAGTGGGCTCTTATTGGCTGTGAACTGTTTGAATAGGTTGTCATAGATCACACCATGATCCATGAAAAACTATGCAATATAAACTAATTAGTCTTAGAGGTTCCATAAAACTTCCTGTTATTTGGGGAATAAGTCAGTCTTCTCTGCCTCTGTTCCCCAGGAATATATAGGCAACATTAAAACAAGAATATTAATGACTTATTTACATGGATTAGAATGCACAAAGGAGCATTGTGTGCATACTCTAAACTCTATATATCCTAATTTTATTATCAACAGTCTAAATAATTTATAAGCAGCAAGTATACAAGGAAATACGGTAGTTGAATTCAAGACAGAGGAACTACCTTGCAAATAGATAAGAGAGAAAGCCCCACCTTGAGAATATATTTGTTATTTTTGAGATATTTATTCAAGTGCAAATTAGTTTAGACTCACAATAAGAGAAATCCACTTATCTGATAAACTGATTAGTTAGCCAGGAGCTCCTATCAATTCTAGGTAAGAGCAACAATTCTCATTGTTTTAGGAACAACAGAGTTCCATTTCCTAGGCTGAGAAGAATTTATGTTAAAATAAAGGACCCAATAAAAGCCAATAAGTGAGATAATCAAAATCACTGAACCAATTACTAGAGACTTGACCCAAAAACCCCAAAGTGCACCAAAGAAACCAACATAGAATCAAACCCATCAGTAGCTATTGGATGGTTCATCTGAGCTGCCCAAATCAAGAAATGTTAAAGGGCCCCTCAAAATATTTGTTAAATTGAAATACAGGCACTGCACTGCAGAGAGCAGAATGAAAATGAATGCTTCATAGGTTGTTAGGAATAACTGGACACTTTAAATTTAGTAAGCTCCAGAGGGCTGTTTAGCAGGGAAGTATGCCAACCCAATGGACTATTGGGGTGGGGGTGGGATTAAAAAAACCCTGAAAATTGATCACCCTCCATTTTAAAAATAAGTGTGCTATCAAGGGGAGGTAATTCTCCTCAACAGCTTAAAGGTTCTCTTGGAGAGAATTGTTCCACCTAGTCCTTACATTATTGACATTATACAAAGTACAGGAGGGCCCAATGCAGCAGAAATGGAAGCATGTGATTTTATCACTCACTATCAGTATTTATTTTTCAGGGTTTATAGGCTGCTCCAATTACAGCTGACTCTGAACAGCATACAATTTCCCTTCCATAATTTGATTCAAGTAAAACAAAATACTATCAACAAATCAGAATGATAACAGCATAATATAAGGTCCCAGGATTAGTTGCAACCCTGCTCCCCCCAATTAAAATAATGTCCATTACTAGGAGCACAAACACCTCGTTTTACCTTTCAGAGTTTGTTCAAACAGCTAAGTCTTCCTAGACCTTCCCAAAGCCAACAGGGGTAGGGCCATTCAAATGCCTGGGAAGATGCTCCAGGGATGCAACATCATTAAACTTGCTGATACAGTGGTACCTCGGTTCACAAACTTAATTCGTTCCACAATTCTGGTCGCGAACT